CCCGGTCCGTTTCCCACTCGCGCGACACGCTTTCTTCCGCGCGCGCTCGTTTCCTTCGGCATCCTCGCTTTCCTTTTTCCACTCGTTGTTTTTCCGGGATTTTCTTTCGCTTCTCCACCGCGCGCGCTCTTTTTTTCTTCTTCTCTCCGGCGTCTCCTTCTACTCGCCTCTAGATACGCCTCGAGTCGCGCGAAATCCTTTCAAACAGCCCGGAATAATTCACCTACTTTCGTTGTTGCGACGACCGGAAGCTCTTCTGCTTGCCGCGCTGATGATGAAACGCCCGGTTATTAGGGTTTGTTCGCGCCGCTACACCTTGGAGCGGGAATTATTTTAGCGGAGCGACGTTGCGGCTTCTCGTACCATTCGCGGCGTGTTCCCTTCTTTCCTCGCGGCTTTCGCGCCGGTCGGCTGAAGTTTAGAGCGAACGATTTGCTGGGAAGGTCGAGTTTGATCGGGCGGGGACGGTTCTTTGAGGGTTTGGCGGAGTTTGCGAAGGGCCTGGGATTGGTTTTTGGTGGTACAGTGGTTTAGAATTGTAGTTTTCCTATGTTGAAGCCGAGTTTGAAAGAGTTGGGATGATTGTTTGAAAGTTTCTGTTTCTTAACAATTTGTGGATGTTTGTGAAGGGTCTGGGATTAGTTTTTGGTAGTACAGTGGTTTAGAATTGTAGTTTTCCTATGTTGAAGCCGAGTTTGAAAGAGTTGGGACGATTGTTTGAAAGTTTCTGTTTTTTAACAGTTTGTGGATGTTTGTGAAGGGGCTGGGATTGGTTTGTGGTAGTACAGTGGTTTAAAATTATGGTTTTCTTATGTTTGAATTATATATTTATGTTGAGGCCAAGGTGGGACGATTGTTTGAAAGTTTCTGTTTCTTAACAATTTGTGGAAGTTTGTGAATAGACTAGGATTTGTTCCTTTGTAATATGATAGTCCTAAGGGTTCACTATATAGATTGATTGTTAAGCCGATTCTTCGAGATTTCCTGTTGATCGATTTGAGAAGTTTTGTGAAGTGAGATTTGTTTTCTGGTAAAACGGTGGTTTCTTATATTTATGATACAGTTGAGTAACGTGTAGAGCAACGTAGAAATCTTCCAGATTAACATCTCCCTTTATCATCCTCAAAAAGAAATAGGTCGCCATTTAATTATCACGCGTTCCTCGAATCGACCGAAAAATGCGCACTCAGCGTCTGGTATTTTAAACATCTGCCAGTAAGGATTTTCTGGCGCCGCGAACAGCGATGCATTAGCAAAGAAATTAAGATCAATAGAGGCCTCGTTCAAGCAATTGGTGCCCGAGACGTTTTCTAATTGGCTGCGTCGAGGTAATCGCCTTATCGCCGCGGTTATCGGAATGGCGGGTTAATTACGCACTGGCTTCAGCGCTAATGCGCTAATGTTATTCTTGATCTCGATATCCGGCATTGTTAACCGGCGTAACTGCCCCGTTTTATTCCGCTGTTAGTCAGAACGTAAAGATAAGGAAAGGAAGTGGGCCAGCCGCGTGGGCGCATGTAACCGCGCGCGCGTTGACCACGATCAATCACGTTCAACTCGAATCTTGCTAGTAGTTTCCTCGAGATAAATACGATTTATCGATCCGTAAATCTTGATTTACGCCCTCCTGACGCAACGGAAGAATACGGATCAACGTAAACATCGAATATTCCACTGACTGGCCTATAATTCATTTACACCATCCGTCATCGAAAATATACATTCACTTCATCCATTATACAAAACACTTCGATTCGAAATTTCACGCTAAAATTCAATTTCAAAATCAACTAAAAACCCAACATTACAACATACTTTCATTCTCATCCACGTCATCTTACTCGATTCATTCTACTCGAAATATTCAATGCTCAATATACCATTGCCAACGTGATCGATTAAAAACAAAATAATTCCAATTCCCCGCGCAACGAGAGAATGATCAACGACAAAGTTTCACTTACAAAATTACCCGACCGCGGATCACCGAAATCCGGCGCTAACGGTGAACGGTAAACTGCCGATAGCGTCGCAAACAACCCTCCTTCTGTGGCGATCCGCGTTCGCCTAATTTCCAATAATTCGCGAAGCGTCGGCAATTAAAGTGAATTCCAATTTCCAGGAACGATCGCAGGCAGCCGGAATCGGTGTTCCGCGCGATCGAGGGCGCTCGTTGAAATCTATTTCGTACGCGATAATAA